ATCAATCAATCAGTCAATCAATCAATCAATCAGTCAGTCAATCAAATAATCAATCAGTCAGTCAATCAATCAAACAATCAATCAATCAATCAGTCAGTCAGTCAATCAATTAATCAATCAACCAATCAATCAGTCAGTCAGTCAATCAATCAAACAATCAAAGAATCAATCAATCAATCTAATCTCATTGATATCAATCACACAACGTATCAATCAAAACCAATCAAACCATATGCAACTATTTTGATAGAATATCAAGATCCTTGTTAACATGTCAACCGATCAACAATAAATAAATAAAATAAACAAATTAGCAAAATGAATAAGTTAAAAAAATAAACTAACAGACCAATCACACAAAATCATCCTCTATCAACCGTACGTCAATCACACGAGATAGCTCCGCCCCAATCCAAAAGCCCGCGTGAGCAAGTCAATTCAATTTAAGGATATCGTTCGTTGAGCCCAGCACTTCATACGCGCGCACGCTCAGCGTCCACTATCATATCCCCAGAGGGGGTGGCAGGGGATGGAGGGAGGGAGTGAGTAATAATAATAATAATAATAATAACGATATTAACAATGATGATGAGATGATAATAATAATATTAATAATAATGCTGACGAGGCTGATGATGATGATGATGGTGATGGTGGTGATGATGGAGATGGTGCTGATGATGATGATGGTGATGATGATGAGGGTAATGATGATGATGATGATGACCTACAAACATTCTTTTATTTATTAGTTTTGTAACTTTTTGGACTTACGTTGGTATTAATAAATTTTTAAAAAGACGTCATACGTGTTTTTAAAATGCAGTAGAAATAAATTCAAAATTAACAACACAAATGAACAAGCAACACGATTTTCGTATAACTCCAATGCTTTCATTAATAAACACATACTCTTATATAGGCAGGGTCGGACTAACCGATAGGCAATAATAGACCAATGAGACAGGTGAGACAAATGCCTAAGGACCATAATTTATAGACCTGTATACGAGCCACACACACGACACAATTGTTTTTAATATTGCCGATTTTATGAGATGAGTTTGCAAGAGTTGTCATTGCGTTTCATTTGCGCTGTGCAAAGTTGTTTCTTGCCTCTTTCGTGAAGAAAATAACTGAAGAGTGGTTGCTTCTACATCCGAATCGAAAAGAATACAATTTAAATTGACATTCAGCAACAGACCTTGCAAATATGATAATAATAGCATTTAAGAAAACCAAAAATTGTTGCGTAGTTTGAGAATGAGTGCTACAATAAATTTTTGAGAATTTTGTACATCCCTAAATCCCTCTACCATATTCCTTCATTCAAACATTACTGGAAGCAAAAGTCACAACGTTTTGCCGATTAGGTTTCGACTGCGGACCAGGTCGTAACCAGGATTTTGATTTGAGAATTTGGGAATTTGGAGTTGAAATATTTTAAAATGGAAACGTTATGAAAATATAGTTGATTCCATCAAATGTTTACCGATTACATCAAGCCAACCGCACGAAAAATTCATCATTAAATCCAAATTAACATAAAATATTGTTTGGCTTAACTGATTTAAAACTCCAAAATTGTAAACTCGCAAATGATAAGCAAAGCAAAGATAGGCTGAAACATTGAATCAGGTTTTCATTACGTTGTGCTGCGAATTACTCAAGGTCAGCCTTTAAAGAAGATACCTACTCAAGTTCGATCCCCATGTTCATCCAATGTATGTCTTTGTGACAGAAATCAGAAAAAGGTAACCAATTTTTCAAAAATTTTCCTCAAGTCATTGGCGAGATCTCATTCGGAATATGGCGTTCAAGTGTGGAAAACTTACAAGGTCGGTCCAGTATTTGAAATAGAAGAGTGCAGGAAGGAGTCTTCCTTTGAACAACAAGTTAGTAAATTGCTGCAGGAGTGTTCATTATTCTGATAGATTGAAGACACTCAAACTGTCCTCTCTTGCTTACCATCCATCGACGAAGAGCTGATCTCATTTTGATGTTCAGAATTTCACATGACGATTTCTCTGCCCGTGTTAGTCCAACGATATTATTTTCTTCAGATAGTCGGGCTAGAGGTCATTGCTGGGAATTAGCTGCAGGAAAATGTCAACAAGATAGTCTCGAATTTTGCTTTTCAAATGGAGTGGTGAATGGCTGGAACAATTTACCTCCTGCTGATGTCGATGCTATTAACATTAACGTCTTTAAATCTTTAATAGATAAATTTTTGCGTTATAATGTATGATTGGTGTCTAAATCTTTAGTTTAGGCAGTGCATGGTGATTAAACATTTTGACAGCTGTGTAATTTAATTTTCTGTTTTCTAGAGAGTTTTTTAACTGTTTTTTTTATCAATTTTACGTTTGATCATGTTTTTTTTTATGTTTGAACAATCGATTTATTAACGAGTTTGGTTATTCAAATTTTTATTTTCCGTCTGCAAAGCGCTCTGCCTCTGCCTAATTTACATAATAATAATAGTAATAATAAAATGATAAATAGAATAAAACATTGCTTAACGTCAGTTGTATCTTTATAATACCGTGAATATGTATGTAAGTATGTAAGTATGTGTGTTTGTGTGTGTGTGCGCGCGTGTGTACGCGTGTGTGTACGTTGTTTTTTCCATTGGAAGATAAAATGTATGGATATTTATGTGGAAAATATTTATGATGGACTAAAAGTAAGAGGAGGATGAGATGGTACTGCTGCTGCTGCTGATGATGACAACGATGATGACGACGATGATGATGATGACGAAGACGAGGGTGATGGTGATGACAATGATGATGATGATTGATTTGAAATATAACGATGTTGGGATGACAATGTTGATGCATCCAAAAATTGTTATTTATGATGACGACAATCGAAACCAACGTCATAATTATCGTCTTCGTCGTCTTCCAATGGAATAGAGTCAGCCAATGAAATAGAGTTCGAATTAGCGTAAATGATTTTGAAACCACAATACTAATTTTAAGTACATACACAGCCTTTAATTTGGATTCACCATGATTTAAATAGATTTGAATTCGGAAATTGTGGTCCTTAACTTTCTGGCCTTTTCACTTTTCGTGATCACCTACCCCCTCTTCAATGTTATTAATGTTATTATGATTATAAGACACGAAGATCAACCAGATCGTACAATAACGAAGATCATAAGATTGTTGTAGTTTGAATAGCAATGCATGTGGTATATTTCTAATTTTATAACTAAAATAAACAATGGCTTGATCGTGAAGATGGAAGTGGTCTTTTAACGTGAGTGGCGTCTTACCCGGGTTCAAACGCACGCAAGCAGGACCCAACCATACTGCTAAATTATTCCAAGCATAACGACTTTTCGCACGCAGAATCAAATTTCAAAAATATAATAAATAATTTTTATTAAACATTTAAAACAAAAAAAATTATGATTTAAACATATTTTGAAACGTGAACTTCTAATAAAACGCGAGGTAAATAGAATTTATTTTCAAGCATGTGAGCACCATCAGACAAGGTTACTGATATATTTTTATAGTAATATTAATATTAATAACAACAAAAATAATAATAACAATATTTATTAATATTATTGTTGCTGGTGTCGTTGTACTAGTAGTAGTAGTAGTAGCAGTAATAGCAGCAGCAGTAGTAGTAGTAGTACAATTAATAACATCACTAATACATCACATGTGTGTGTGTATATATGTGTGTGTCTGGGCGTGTTGTGTGTGTGTGTGTGTGTGTGTGTGTGAGTGCGTGCTGTGTGTGTGTGTGAGCGTGTGTAGGTGAGTAGTTTTGGCTCGTGTGACGTCACAGTTATGTCGCTCCAACGTCATATATCATCGTTAGAAATCCATCATACATGTATCCTTTGACGTATCATTATCTTTTTTTATCTTATTATTTTTATTATTTATATTACCATCATTATTATTATTATTATTGTTATTATTATTATTATTATTATTATTATCATCATCATTATTAATATTGTTATTATTATTAATATTATTATTAATACTATTACTTCCATTTTGTGGGAAAAAATTGAAAAAACATTTATAACGGTCTTAAATTTATGAATAAAAAAATTATAGATAAAAATATACTAAGGTAATAACGCAATTACCTGTGTGTGTGTGTGTGTGTGTTTATCTGTGTGTGTGTGTTTATCTGTGTGTGTGTGTGCGTGTGTGTGTGTGTATGTGTTTGTGTTTATGTGTACATGTTTTATATGTGTATTTACTAATCTTAGTGTATTTTCGATAGCAATGGTGCAATACGGTGGTGCTAAATACATAACTTAAACATATACAATACACATATATATAATGTTTATTTATATATTTAGATATTTATTTATATATACATATAATTAATAAAACAATTTATAAACTAAACAACAGCAAAAAATATATTTATATCACATCTGGAATGTATGAGAAGAAGATAGATTATTTTTTTGTTTTGTTAGAAAGAAAAAAAAAAGAAATTAAAATGAAAAAAAATGCAAAGAAACTGGAATAGAAATTTGTCAAAAATTACTAATCGTCGTCATGACGCTAGTGCTATGATGCTAAGTTATGATGATGATGACAACGATGACGACGACAATAAATAGTTGTTGACGACGACAGATGATGATGATTGATGAAAATGATGAAGATGATGATGATGATGAAGATGATGATGAAGAAAAAGAAGAAGAAGATGATGATGATGATGACCGATGATGATGATGATGAGGAGGAGGAGGAGGAGGAGAAGGAGGAGGAGGATGATAATGATAGTGATGATGATAATGATGATGATTATAATGATGATTGATGGTTAAACAAACGCTGGCTGTTGCACTGATGCTACCAGCCATCTAAAAAACAGTGTTAATTATGCAAATAACATTGATGCTGATGAAGATAATTATGTTGTTAGTTACGACATAAAAACTTCAAAAAAAAAATAATTAACCCACAATAACATTGATGCTGATGAAGATAATTATGTTGTTAGTTACGACATAAAAACTTCAAAAAAAAAATAATTAACCCCACAAAAATTTCATTCACCCACTCCCTCCTTTCCAGCCATTCTCCCGCCACCCCCCTCACCGGTTGCCCCGCAAGACAGTGCGTACTCCAGGAATGGCGAATGATGGACTGTGACGTAATTGGGATCGATATGGAAGTACAACCCATTCTGATCAACCCCGGAAGTAAATAGCGATCCGTGTGTGTGGGGGTTGTAGACCTGAGGCCTTCCCAGAGAACCAGGTGGTGGGAAGAATGGAGGAATTCTTGGCGTGAGAAGAATTGGGGTGGTGACCATTGTGGCTGTCCCTGGAGTTTGTGGACAGATGTAGCTTCTTGTGGTCAATAAACTGGCTTCTGTGGTTTCGCCGCCGTCGTCCTGAACGTTTGTGGCTGTTGTGGTAGCTGTTTGAAATTGGCGATTTCATCGTTGTCAAAATGAAATTAAATTTGATGTTTCTTAGCGGAAACTTATTTATAAACATTAAAATTACAAATTTTCAACCAAAAAATAAAAAGTATTCTATCTCGCCAGAGACCGCTTGTAATATATGAAACCATCATTTTTAACTCTAAATGGTGAACGACAAAAAACCAATTTCATTGAAAAACGAAAAAAGATAACTGACGTGACTGAACACCATATAATTGCTGCTGTTGTTGTGGCTGCTGTTGCTGCTGCTGCTGCTGTTGATAATGATGTTGTTGTGGCGGCCTCTGAAGTTCTCGGTAGGTGCCGTTGATGATAGCGAGTTCCATCAGCTGCAACTTTTTCAAGTTGTCCTCACCTTCAGCCTGAGGTGTTTTGAAGCGTACACATATTTTTACACACACACACACACACACACACACACACATACACCACACACACACACATACACACATAATTGTTAAATATAATTGTTAAACCATTTGTTATCTGATGTTTGACTGTCTAGTAGTCATTCGTCATGATTTGGTTTTAGCTAACTTATACAACATAATAAACACATACACACAGATATACACGCATACACACACGCACACATACACCTACTTATACACATCACACATATATACACAAATATATATACACACGCACACACATAAATACACACAGTAACATGCACACAAACAAACACATACAGCAGGTTGGAGGAGTTTCTTCACATCCTCAATGGCCCTGGTCATCTTAATGGCTGCCCTGTTCTCCGTGTCCTCTACCATCAATAACACGTGCAAGTCTTCATCCAAGTGCTCCCAGTTTGGTTTGCCTCTGAATTCTTCTTCCTGGATAAATGGGTAGATGAATGAATGGATGGTTAGATGAATAAATGGAGGATTAGATGGGTGAATGGATGGATGGATGGAGAGATCTATCAACTCATCTACCATCTATTTGTTGGTTTATCTCTCTATCCATTCATCCGTCCAAGATTCATCTATTCGTTCATCAACCTATCTATACATCTCTCAATCCATTCATCTATCTATCTATACATCTCTCAATCCATTCATCTATCTATCTATACATCTATCAATCCATTCATCTATCTATCTATACATCTATCAATCCATTCATCTATCTATCTATACATCTATCAATCCATTCATCTATCTATCTATACATCTATATATCCAACTAGCTATCTATCTATTTATCTATATCTATCTATAGATATCTATCTATCTAGCTATTTATACATTCATCTGTATAGGCCAATACATCAAGCTATCTATCTTGCTATCTATGTATTCATCTAAATGTGTCTATACGTCTAGCAATCTATCTAGCTATCTATCCATTCATCTATATCTATCTATACATCTATGTATCTATCTAGCTATCTATCTATTCATCTATCTATCTATTCATCCATCCATCTATCCAAAACCGACCTTGACTTTATCCCGCATGGATCCCCTTCCCCTTATCATGATCTTACATCCGCTCTCCATCTCCAACTGTTTGGCAGTCATTCCACGTGGTCCAAGAATCCGCCCAATGAAGTTGTACTATTGGTTGGTTTGATTTGATTGGTTCGATATATTTGATTGGTTAGTTTGAATGTTTGGTTTGATGGATCTGATTGGTTAGTTTGAATGTTTGGTTTGATGGATCTGATTGGTTAGTTTGAATGTTTGGTTTGATGGATCTGATTGGTTAGTTTGAATGTTTGGTATGAATGATTGGTTGGAATTGAATGATTGGCTGTTATATCATTGTTACTGTTAAGGATCTTTTAGAAACTAGACGTGGTTTGCCATTAATAAACATGAGTGTTTAGTTTACACATTTTATGTTCTTTGGTTTATACGTTTGCGTTGTGACTATTTTAATTATTTTTTAACTACCATTTGCATTTACAGCACAGTCGAGAGAGTTGAATGGTTCAGGGACCTGATGCATGTATCAAAGTATCATATATCTATTATTACACTTGTATCAAAGTATCATATATCTATTATTACACCTGCCTATATGTATCAAAGTATCATATATCTATTATTACACCTGCCTATATGTATCAAAGTATCATATATCTATTATTACACCTGCCTATATGTATCAAAGTATCATATATCTATTATTACACCTGCCTATATGTATCAAAGTATCATATATCTATTATTACACCTGCCTATATGTATCAAAGTATCATATATCTATTATTACACCTGCCTATATGTATCAAAGTATCATATATCTATTATTACACCTGCCTATATGTATCAAAGTATCATATATCTATTATTACACCTGCCTATATGTATCAAAGTATCATATATCTATTATTACACCTGCCTATATGTATGTCTTCTGCCTGAATGTATGTACTAAGTAGGCTTGTTTGAATGCGTTCGTTTCTGTATGTTGATATTTAACAATGCAAACGTATGAAATATATGCTAAACATCCACAATTTGAAAGATCTATCAAGTTAGTAGTATTAAAGTAAGAAAAATAGGCAGGCATACGTCGGGAAAGTCTTTACAGGGTACATACAATTTTTCTTGCAGTACCACAATGTTGCCGTGTGGCTCGGGAAGTCGCGCCATGGAGATAGGGGTGTGCTGGTGGATGAGTGTCAGACGGACTCTGTTGATTTCTGTGTGGTTTTGTTGTTGTTGTTGTTTGTTGTCATTGATGTTGTTGATGATGTTGTTGATGATGTTGTTGTTGTTGTTGATGATGCTGTTGTTGCTATTGAATAATTAAGTCTGTGGAAAAATGTTGATGTATTTTACGAACCGTTGTCAAGGATGCGATCCACGTGGCTAAAAACAGCGGGAAAGTTGAGCAGTTGTTGTTTGTCTTTCAGAAGTTGTGCCAAATATTCGGAGTTGTTCAGCTGCTTCGGTTGGTTTTGGTGTTGTTTGTGTTGTTGTTGTTGCTGCTGTTGTCTGGATTGCTGTTGGTGTTTTTGTTGTTTCATTTGTTGAGATTGATTTTGTTGTTGTTGCGGTTGTTGTTTGCTGTTGTTTGATTGTATTGGAGGTATTTTAAGCTGAAGACTCTTTACAAGAGGATTCAACCGGCTAGGTTTCGATGTAAAGTTGGTGTTCTTTTTTAAAATGTCGTTGTTACTGTTGTTGTTGT